GGGTTATTTAACATGAGATGGTGTGTCATGACTGACTTCCTGTCGTCTTTCAGTGCAGCAATGCCGTGATTACACAACTAACGTTAAGCTGCTGTGTTCAGTGACCATCAGAATAATCAGGCCCAAAAAGGTTCTGTGTTCCTGAACCACATCAAACAACAAAAATTAAGACTTTACAACATCAGCAGGTAAAAATCTGGCAAAAAGATTTGTCTCATCAGGGCTCAGCAACCCCAACTGCTACTTGGGTTTACAGTTGTTCTTACATTGATGCTTGCCACTAATGACAGTAAAAGAATTTTAGCCTGACAAGAAAGTGATAAAGATAATCAGGGACATCGCCACTTACACTGGAAAAAAGTAAAACCAATACTTGGAACGTCTGATAAAATCACTGACGGCCGAGCTTGGTCTCCTAAACTAAACAAGCTCACTGAAATCAGTCAGCAGAAGCTGTAGCCTGCCTTCTTAAAGCTACAAATATAATCACACTACATATACACTCTGTGTATACATACATACATACTCTGTAATTCAAATATTTGCAGAAGAAGAATGTGTGCAGACGCCCAAACAGAGAACCTAAATCTGGAGGAAACCAGGGAATGATGGATCTGGAGTTGATTTTGCATCTGATAGATATTAATGGAAGTGGTGCAGTGCAGGTGCAGCCACAGGCGGAGCAGTCTCAAGTAGTGATAAGACTGGTGATGTATTTAAATGAGAAAGAAAATTTAGACTGGCTGACTAATCTAAAGACAAAGTTCTCCATCATTCATCATCCTCCGTTAAATCTGAGGAGGATAAGATTCATGATCCAGATCACCACATGACAGGAAGTGCAAAACCTTCTGACCTCAAGTGTCTCTATTAATATTTATTCCAGCAGATTTGTCTCATCTGAGCTTATTCTAAAAGGTAATCAAATTACCGATCAGTCTGATTGGTGCCAAGTAAAAACAAAACAATCTGGTCACATGACAGGAAGTGTATTAAGATTAAGAAAGGCAAGAAAAGTGGATCCTGAAGTTAAGCACATCTCACTCAGCAGACTGCCAGCTAATCAGATTAGCCTTTCAGCCAGATTAGCATACGTGCCAGCACTAGTCGTTAGCTTAGCATCAAAGGCGTTTTGTGGGGTCTGAAGGAGCCCGAACTTTAAAGCATTTCTGTCCTTAATTCTAGTCAGGTTAGTTTTGTTTCTGTGCACGGGAGGGTCATCTGCCAGGCTGTCACTTAAATGTGTAAAATGGATATGCATACATCTTACTTTCCAAAATAAAAGGACAACAATTTTACTTTAAGCCTTTCTTTTGGTTCCCTGCTGCACAAACAATGCTGAACTTCACTGGTGAGTTCACAAACTCACACTGCAGTTTTCCAGCTGCCTGTGGGCAGTAATAAGCTCTTAGGTGGCCTCTGATTGGCTGATAAAACAGCAGCTTACAATCCTAATCAGCTGAGTGAAACCAGCTGAAGTGGCTGTTATCCACCCAGACTGAAGGCTCCAGTTGACATTAGTAACTTAATCTGATCTCAGAGCTGAAGGACATCTGCTGCTCCTCACACCTACCAGTTTCTAATAATTCATCAATAATGCCACGAATTACAGAAATGTGTCAGCTTTTTCTACTCTTGGGTTTTTGTGATGTTATTAGATGGCGACATCTGCATTCAGTCATCTCAGTTGCACTGAGGCCCGGTGTCACATAAATAAGGAACTGTGAATCATGCAAAGCTGCTCTAACAGAACAAATGGTGGAGCTCAAGACTGCTGCAGGTGTTCAGGTTGTGTACAGTTAAACAGCATGTGTCAGTTAAATTGTACCCAAACCGGATGGACTGGTTAGCATTTAGGCTGAACAATGAACCCAAAAAACTGAATAAATCAAGAACAAGCCCAACTCACTCAGTCTGTGGTCGTGACTTCAAAAAACAGTTTGAATTAACGTTATGATGCGTTTTGAAAACCAGAGAGCAGAAATAAGATTAAAATCCCAAATCCTGTTACTGCCGTGTCTGAATTTAAACGTGGTCAAGTTGTTTTGGCTCAATTTGTTTCTAATTTATGATTTTTTTTTCCCCCTGTGACACACTGTGCAGGGTGTACACCGCTGGGATAGGCAGAAGCCCCACTACGAAGTGGATATGCAGAAGAGAATGGAATTATTTATGTTCTGTTAAGGATCAGTGATAAGGTTTTTATTTGTCAGGTAATTTTATCAATTAAAGAGTCACTGTGTGTAAGCCCTCATATTCTCACCAAAGATTGCCCCTGTAATCTAAGCGAGATGATGAGATGATCATATATTCCTTCAGTAAGCAAGCATGCATATGATACTTTTAAATGTGGGAACAGAAACCATCGCAGATTATGCGCCTAACAGATCTCGGGCCAGTTCGCTTTGTTCTTGCTAACTTAAGACAGACTAACTACTCAGACAATTCTTGTACCCTTTCATTTTTTCACAGTCTTGTTTAAAGAAAAAAAAAAATCTACAGAGAGACTCTGATGTCTTTGCAGCTGCCCTTACAGTGATGTTGATCTACAGGAAGTAAAAGTCAAAGATTTCTGCAGATTAACATGCCTATATCGCCACCTGCAGACATCCTGGAGTAAACGCTACGGACAGCGGCCCTTTGAGCCAGATGTTACAATGAAAAACAGCTACTAACTTATACCAGACAGCCCAGTGTTTCCCTTTTTAATATTAACATTCTGATCTTACTTTACATATACACCTGAAAAAAGCAGAGAAAATAATTATAGCTCGGTAAGCATCAAATGTTTAGTTAATGAAGAAATGTCTTAAAACAATCCAGATGTTAATCCTGATCAATGTGATCGTGATCATTTCACAATCATGGAGCAATTCAACTTTAACATAAGACTGAGCTTTACAGCATCACCGTTTTGGTTTTTTGAACCCAGGTGTGATCTGAGAGGGGTGGATATGACAGTAAGCTGTCAATGATGAAGGAGCACCGCCCATAGTTCCCCCCAACTTCCTAGGGTTCTTTCTGACCATAAAAAATATACTTTTGGCTACTCAGTTACCCCACAGGTAACGGGAAATTAACCAGCAACCTTTCGTTTGCAAACGTGTAAATGACACCAAACATCATGCTTTACTCAGTATCGAGCTCTGGTTTTACTTTAAAATGAGAGGAGTCGCCCCCTACTGGTAATTCTAAGTCATACTGGTAAAAACCTGTGCTTAATACCGCCTAGGATCAGCTCATTTCCATCCACTTTTTCACCGTGATAGTCTGCCAAGTTCGACCACAATGGTCACTGAATCTGCAGTGTCTACCTCTAATGATGCTAACACACCTGTGACAGCGGACAGGTGAATGGAGGTCAGTCATGAAAGCGCGTAGCTTATGATTAACTTTGTTTTCATACACCCATTTTTTTTTGCCAGCCTCCTGCAGGCTTTGCTACCCGGATCCTAAAGCCTTCTCTGGACAGTTTAACAGCTGACCCTAAACCCTTCAAAGACCCTAAAAAACACCGCCCACCTCCTCCAGATCCCTGCTTAGCCCAATGTTAGCATAGCACCTTACGGAACACCCGACTTTGAATGAAGCAGTCGGACCAATTTTAGTTTCGCTGTGAGAAAAAACCCGACTGTAATGCATGTTAATCAAACCAGATCACCGGGACAAGACTCGGGTTTAAGGTTTATTACCCGCTAACGGAGGCCACGGCAGCGGGCTAACGGCTAGCTGCGTTCACCTGCGGTTAATTAGCCATCAGCCCGGTGCTAACTGCCCGCAGGAGCCGCGGAGAGGAGATTTAACGGATAGAAACCGACAGCATGTAAATAACTACAGCCCGGGCGACGTGAACGGAACACCACCTGTCAGAAAACAGTTGTATTCGGCTGAGCTACCCTTTAAAATTCTCATTTATTGGCGTTTTCACTCACCTCAAGCTCACCCGTGCGCCGCCTGGGAACTACTGAGGAGGATCACGTGGGGTCCTGGAGGGCACTAACCGCCTTCCCCTGTCGCCGATTGGTTATCCAGCGCGTAACTTTGACGTTTCCTGTCAACTGTCAGGAGCTGATTGGTCAAAGGAAACTCTCGCTCGACCCGCCCATATGGAGCTGCACCTCGTGGACAGCGATGATTGGCTGAGCTGCCAGGGGAAGTGTGCCCTCATTGGCTGCAGTCATGCTTATGAAAAGGCTTAAGAATTCGGGATGAGATTGAAACTGATTTTTGTAGATTTTGATTCATAAACTGATTTAATTCGGTTCTAACCTATTAAAGACATGAAAACGGTCATTATTTCGCATATCTGCTTTATTGGATAAAACATTCTGAATTTCCAAAGCTATTTATTTAATAACTTAGTTTAATTATGACTTTTTTTT